CAACCACAACAACAACAACAACAACAACAGCAATAGCAACAACAACAACAACAACAACCATAACAACAACCACAACAACAACAACAACAACAACAGCAACAACAAAAACGGGAGGGACGAAACCTATCCCCCTCTGGCCAGCCCTGCCCACACACCGGACGTCGAGAACAAGTGACGACGCCATCGAAAAATCACGACCAAAGCCGCCCCCTCCCCCCCTGGTAACGCCCGCTATCCCTCAGGAATGAAAAGACGCTCTCCTCGCACCATCTTTACGCGGGATCCCTCGGGCCGTATTGACCTGTGAAGGCTCCAGTGGCCCCGCGGTGTGAGGTGAGCAGACCCGCCGCGACGCCTCCACGGCGCCCACATGTCGGCAGGGGCCTCCCCCCTCCGGCTTGGCTCTCGGGGCACACCTCGGGCTTCGGGCTGCCGTTTGAGACGACCCTGTCCCCCACCTGAGCATCGTTTGACCGATCCCTATCCCCACTGGCGTGGCATGGGCCCCGCTGGCCGATTTACCCCCCTACACAAGGGATATATGGTCGAGGGTTTGCCCCCCCCCCCACCCAATGCTAATGCCATCGGGGCCCCCCCCCCCGCGCGATGGTCCCCCCCCCCTGTGGGCATGGGCGTGGCGTGGTGGCCCCCCCCCCTGTGGGAGTGGTGTGGGGTCCACCCTGTGGGTGTGCGGTGGTTAGGGGTCCGCCTCAGCCAAGAGTCGGCGTCGCTGGCGCCGCCGTCGCCGTCGTGTCGTCGTCGTCGTCGTCGTCGCCGTCGGAGGAGGAGGAGGAGCATCGGTATCGGCATCGGCATATGCATCGCCGTCCCAGGCATGACGTAAAACTGCTGCACTCGTCCCAGGCATGACGTAGAACAGCTACACTTGACGGAGGTGCCACACCGTAATGCCTAGCAACCGTAGTGTGGGAGGTTGGCCTCTTCCGATGAAGTCAAGTGCGCGCTCAAGTCAAGTGAAGTCTTCGCCATCGTTGTCGTCCTCAGCCTGTGCCTCCGGAGAGTGGCGGCTACATAGGGAGAGGAAGCGGGAGGGGGGAGCAAGGTAGGGAAGAGAGGGCCAAAAACGAGGAGGGAGGGATGGAGAGGCGGATGGGGGGAGGAGGAAAAGGAACATCGTCGTCGACGGTGTCTTCACCGTCGTCGCCTCCTTCTGGATGTGGCGTTGTGTTTCAGTGCTTCAGGGAGCCGGAGCAGACGGTGTCTTCGTCGTCGTCGTCGTCGCCGTCATCGTCGTCTTCCTCCTCCTCCTGCTCCTCCTCCTCCTCCTCCTCCTCCTCCTCCTTCTCCTTCTCCTCCTCCCCCATCCCATCTGGGGGGGGGGGCCGAGGACCCTGGGACCCATCCCATCCGGGGGGGGGGCCCGTGGACCCGGAGCCCGCGATAATTTCGGCTGTTCTCTTCGGGTTTCGAGGGGCATATCCCCAAATGGGGTAGTGAGATGTTGGGGCTCGGGATGGGGATGGGGATAGGGATCAATTAAGCGATACTGACCCTCCCCCGCCGAAGGCCCTCGACGAGGCCGCAGCTGATGGAAGACACCCTGGGGCCCGAGAGCCTCCATGAGCCCAGACATTCAAGGTCGTGACATTTGCACAGCGTGGCTCCTAAGAGGCCTGGACCCGGTCCCATGGACCGGATCTTCATCCTGACTCGCTGCCGGGAAACCTCCAAAAACCGACGAAACATGCCAAAAGCCTCCCGTCGTGATTCGGAGCAGGGCAAATTGAGACAACAGCAGCTCCAATTGGCCCCTGGTCCTAGAGGCATCTTAGATGGGGTCCGAGTAGATGCGGTCAGACGATCACACCGCATCGCTGATGCTTCTCCGATGCATCGCCGATGTATCAGCAATTTCGGCGGTGCATCGGCGCCGCCAGCGCGGCGAAAATCGGCGCTCCCCATCGAGCCACATCGGCGCTGCATCGGCGATGCGGCGCGATCCTTCGACCATATCTTCGGCGGCAAGCCCGCGGGGGAAGGGAGAAGGGGCGGGCCTTCTCGAAAGGCTCGGAAATCTTCTGGCCTTCCAAAAAGTGTTCTAGACCGTCCCCGAAGACACAGAAAACTTCTCACTGGGCCAAAGGCTTCTGAGAAGCCCCGCGGCCTTCTGAGAAAGCCTCCTCCTTCTCACTTCCCCCCTCGCTCGCTGCCGACTTGTACTCCGACCCCCTCCATGGGGAACAACCAATGACAAAAACATAAACGCTCGGAGTTCCGCGCGGATTTCTCGGATCGGAGCTGGGGACCCCTGGCGGCACCTCCGGCGCCGCCCCCGGCGCGCTCCGTGCGCCAGAGAGGGGGGTCCAGCGCCGATCCGAGAAATCCGCACGGACCTCCAAAACCGTATATCTAAGCAAGTAGTGGTTTCCCCGACATCGACGATAATCGACGCTAAATCGGCGCTATCCCATCGACTACCAAATGTCAGTCGACGCTAACGCACTCTAAAGACGGAACTACGAGGGTATAAAGGCCGCCAGGACTTGCTACAAAAGACACCTGCAGTCGGACCTAGGCCAGAAGAACATCCCTCAAGAACATGAGACCCTTCGCCGGCCAAAACAAACAGAACATACGAGGGCACCCTCCCCAGGATGCACAAGAGCATCCAACTAACACGAAGAACACGAGGGTACCCTTCCAGAACCGACCTCGATCTTATACCTCGGTCCGACCGTATAGAGGAGGACGAGGAGGAGGAGGAGAAGGAGGAGGGGAGGGAGGGGGAGGCGGAGATTCGATGGCAAAATATGAACGCTAAAGGTGCCATAGCCGACCCTCCGTCGCACCCTGGAAAGATCGGATTCAATGACCGCGGCCGACGGCCCATGATGGCTGGGGTGCTTGCCCTGGCGGATCCTCGCCAGGTTCTCGAGGCCCTTCTTAGAAGGCGTGCACACCCCAGTGAGCTGACGCGGGTCCGTCAACGCCGCCTTGCCACAGTGGGAACAAAAGTACAATGAAAACCGAAGCCAGAAGAACAGCCGATGGGACTCGAGCAACGTATTGCCCTCTACCACCACCGCCCAACTTGCCGCCCTTTCTATCACGTCCACGGCCTGGCCGAAACTCGACTCGGCCGCTGGACAAACTGTCAGGGCTGCTTCAATCATATCCTGATCACTCCAGATACAGTGGCACAGCGAGCGGACCCATTTCCTGTAGGCTCAGGTCCAACAGCGCGAGCTCGCCAGGAAAGCCTTGTCCCGCGCACACTTGGTCTCACGGCCCCTCTTGGGTCGAGTCGAGGTCCACAATGCGGAAGCGATCGCATCCACCATGGCCTGGGGGCCCTTCTACGTACTATCCCGCTTGTCGGTGTCGGGGGTCCGTCGGCCCTCCACGGCCAACTCCCAGGAACGATCCATGGCGACCCCAGCGTGCTCATCGATCGGCGAGGCTGTTATTGACAGCGATGTGGCGCTGGAGGGGCGAGAGCGCGGGATCGTCGGGGTTGACATGCAAGGAGGTCCAGACTACATGAACGCGGCCTGCACGAGCCCTGATCGCTGATCTGATCCGAAACCATAACTTAGCATTATTGCCCGCTGATCTCTCGGCGCGGCCTCGGAGCCAACCCTGGCGCGGAGCCGCATTATCAGTCACAAAGATGATGGGGCCATCAATGGCTCTGGGGGCCAACCCGAAAGCGCGGAGCTCAGCTCTGGGGACTGTCTGTCGGCGTCCTTCTAACGTGCTGGAAACTCCTGCTAGCAGCTCCCACCCCGTGCTGGTGGGCCTAAGCCACACCGCCGCTGCACCAACCCCTCGACGGCGTGGGTCGCTGCTCTAACGGCCTCCAGACCACTCCCCGAACACGAACGCGGCTCCAGCACGATCTCGATCGAGAGCTTCCAACGGCTGCGCCAGCGCCCCAACCGCGCCAGAGCCCAGGACCCACTCCATATCCCCTACGTATCCCTTTGAAGAGCGGCACAGTCCGGCGCGCAGAGGGGAGCCCGCGCAGCCACAAGGACGGCTGAGATTCATGATTCATCGACGCTTCGTGCACAGCGACTGGGACGCTGAGTACGCTGTCTTATCTGCGTTACACGGGCAGGTCCAGATACGATGGTAGCACGAGTCGGGAGCGGTACCGCATCTCGGGCACAGAACTGGCGCAAACAGCCGGCTTCAATCTGACGGATCATGGGGCCATTGCCCCCGGGCCCTGACTGTGACCAGCTGGCCAATCTGGACGCAGGGTCCAGTCTTGAAGCAGCGTGGCGAGGTGGGCCTGAGCAGGGACGAGGTCGGCCCCCTCACCCAAAACTTCCCCGAAAGCATGCTCGGACGCCTTGCGCCAGAGCTGCGCCATGAGGTCGTCCCGCAAACCCGAGACCAGCTCAGAAAAATCAAAATGCCCCTCAGGGGGGGAGCCAAGGAGTGACCAAAGTTCGGCCTCCGTGGCAGGTGCGGGCGGGGCGGTGCCATTCTGTAGCAGAAACGGGCCTCCAGCTCGCATCCTTAAGAGTCGCGATCACGACCGCCATCTGCCCCCGAACCTTCCGCCAGCGATGCGTCGCGTTAAGCCCCCAAGCCGTCCGTCGACAAACACTTGCCAGGGCCCCTCTCCGATGGCGGAGGGAGCGAGGCTGGGGGCTTGGTGTCCGTACAGCGCCTGGGGGACCGATCCCTGTAGAAACAAACCCGTAGATAGCTTGGTGAGAACAGCCTGCTGGCGGAACCACATCACGCGGCCTGTGCAACACATGGCCTTTGCCATACGCTCCTCAGCCTTCTTGGCCCCCTACGCCTGGACCCCGTGGTATCGCATCTGAGATCGGCCGCGTGGGAAGCTAGGTTGAGGAGAAGGAGGAGGAGGAGGAGGAGGAGGAGGGAGAAGGCGGAGGCGGGGGCGGGGGCGAGGATAGGAGGAGGAGGAGGAGGAGGAGGAGCAGAGGAGGAAGAAGGAGGAGGGAGGGGGAAGAGGACGAGAGGGAGGGCCCCTCTTGGTCCAGCCGTGGCCCCGGGAGGGCCTGCGCCGCGCACGGCCGCGCCTGCGGAGGCCAAGCGGGCAGCGCGGCGGCGCGGGGGTCCGCGGGTATGCGCGCGGCGGGGAGCATGTCCTCGGAGCGGGGGGGAAGTCCTCCTCCTCCTCCTCCTCCTCCTCCTCCTCCTCCTCCTCCTCCTGCTCCGCTCCTCCTACTGCTCCTCCTCCTCCTATCTTATTATTCTTATCACGATCCAAGACTATTCTTAAAACTATTATTACTACTACTACTACTACTACTACTACTACTACTACTACTACTACTACTACTACTACTACTACTACTACTACTACTACTACTACTACTTACTACTTACTACTACTACTACTACTACTACTACTACTACTACTACTACTACTACTACTACTACTACTACTACTACTACTACTACTACTACTACTACTACTACTACTACTACTACTACTACTACTACTACTACTACTAATAATAATAATAATAATAATAATAATACTAATACTACTACTACTACTACTACTACTACTACTACTACTACTACTACTACTACTAGTATTATGATTAGTACCATTATTCTTATAAGTATTATTAGTAGTAGCATGATTATTCTTATGATCAGTAGTATTAGTATTATTAGTATTACTACTACTAGTAGTATTAGCATGAATATTAAAAAATAGTAATACTATTATTAATAATAGTATTATTGGTCTGATTATTAGTATTAGTATTATTCCTATTAGTATTGATATTCGTATTAGCACTATTCTCATTTGTCTTTATATTTTTATGACTCGTATACTCGTCTTCTTGTTACTAGTATTATCATCATTATTATTCTGATGAATATTATTATTAGTAGCAGTAGTATTATTATTACTAACATTAACAATATGAAAACCATTATTAGTACTAGTATTATTGGTATGATTATTATTATTAGCGATATTATTATTAGTACTTTTATTATCAGTATTATCAATTGTCTTTATATGTTTATGATTCGTATTATTCGTCTTCTTATTACTATTATTACCACCATTATTAATATCATTATTAGTAGTAGTATTATTCGTAATATTATTACGAATAGAACTCTTATGAGTTGCATTATTATTTATATTAGTACTATTAGTAATATTCCTCGCCTTCTTCAAAATATTAGCATTATTATTAGTATTTTTCGTTACTACTAGTATTAGTCTCGTTGTTAGCAGTATTACTCGTCTTCGTATCATTATTCTTATCGTTCTTATTATTATGAATAGCATTAGTAATCCTATGCGTAGTAGTATTCGCATTATCATTATTATTCTTATTCTTAGTAGTATTATGATTCGTATTAGTATTATTGTATGTTATTAGTATGATTATGGCTTTTCTTATTTGAGTATCATACATTTTTAATGTTAGTATTAATATTCCTCTGCTTAGTATGTTTATTCTTAGTTATATTATTGTTATGATCATTGATATTATTATTGTTATTACTATGATTAGTATTATTGGTATGATCATTATTAATAGTAGTAGTATTATTGTTGTTATTGTTATTATGATTAGTGGTAGTACTATTAGTAGTAGTATTAGTAGTAGTACTAGTAGTAATAATAATAGTATTTCTCCACCTCTTCCTCCTCCGCCTCCGCCTCCGCCTCAGCCTCAGCCTCAGCTTCAGCCTCCGCCTCCTCCTATGCCTCTGCCTCCGCCTCCGCCTCCGCCTCCGCCTCCGCCTGCGCCTCCGCCTCCGCCTCCGCCTCCGCATCCGCCTCCGCCTGCGTCTGCGCCAACTCCTCCGCCTCCGCCTCCGCCTCCGCCTCCGCCTGCGCCTGCGCCTCGTCCTCCGCCTCCGCCTCCTCCTCCTCCTCCGCCTCCTCCTCCTCCTCCTCCGCCTCCGCCTCCGCCTCCTCCGGTTCCTCCGCCTCCTCCGCCTCCTCCTCCTCCTCCTCCCCTCATCTCCTCCTCCTCCTCCTCCTCTCCTCCTCCTCCTCCTCCTCCTCCTCCTCCTCCTCCTCCTCCTCCTCATCCTCCTCCTCCCCTCCTCCTCTCCTCCTCCTCCTCCGCCCCCCGCCTCCGCCTCCGCCTCCGCCTCCCGCCTCCGCCTCCGCCTCCTCCTCTCTCCTCCTCCTCCTCCTCCTCCTCCTCCTCCTCCTCCTCCGCCTCCTCCTCCTCCTCCCCACCTCCTCATCCTCCTCCTCCTCCTCCGCCTCCTCCTCCCCCGCCTCCTCTCCTCCTCCTCCTCCTCCTCCTCCTCCTCCTCCTCCTCCTCCTCCCCCTCTTCTTATTATTATTATAATTCTTATTATTATTCTTATTATTATTCTTCTTCTTAATTATTATTATTATTAATATTAGTGTTATTATTAGTATTACTACTATTATTAATATTTATATAATTATTATTATTATTATTATTATTAGTATTATGATTATTATTATTATGATTATTATTATTATTATTATTATTATTATTAATATTATTATTATTATTAGTATTATTATTATTATTCTTATTAGTATTATTATTCATAGTTGTCTTCTTATGCTTATTCTTCTTCCTAGTATTATTCTTCTTATTATTATTCTTCTTCTTGATATTATTATTATTCTTAGTATTCTTATTATTATTATTATTCTTTATTTTTCTTATTCTTATTATTATTCTTATGTTTCTTCTTCTTATTATTATTATGATTATTCTTATTATTCTTCTTATTATTATGATTGAAATTATTATTAATACTATTAGTATTACTATTATTATTAGTACAGTTATTATGAGCATTATTATTAATATTATTACTGTTTTTTAATTATAATTAATATCATGTGTCGTATTAGTCTTCTCATTATTCTTATTATTATTCTTATTCTTACTAGTATTAGTAGTATTATTATTAGTATTATTCGCATTATGATGATTATTAATATTATTATTAGTAGTCATTTTATTATTCTTAGTATTATTATTAGTATTATTCTTCTTATCATTGTTCTTCGTATTAGTATTCTGATTCTTCTTATAATTATTATTCTTACTATTATTAGTATGACTCGTCTTCTTCTTATTATTATGATTATTACTCTTCTTATGAATTTTATGCTTCTTAGTATGATTCTTCCTCTTATTCTTATCATTCTTAGTATTAATATTATTATTATTAATATTCGTCTTCTGCTTATTACTATTATTCTTATTCGTTTTCTCATTCTTCTTTTTAGTATTAGTCTGCTCAATATTGGGATTCTTATTATTATTAGTATTAGTATTATTCTTCTTCTTCGCATTACGATTCGTATTATTATGCTTCTCCTTATTATTCTTATTATTATTACTTTTAGCATTATTCTTAGTAGTATTATTATTAGTATTCTTAGTATTGTTCTTACTATTAGTCTTAGTCTTATTATTATTAATAACCTTGCTATTATTATTAGTCTTCTTGTATTATTATTGCTATTCGCATGCATGTGTTTGTTCTTATTCTTGGTAATACGAATATGATGATCGATATAATGTGTAGTATCAGTAGTGTCGTTCGTATTATTATTAGTATAATTATTCGCATTAGTATTATGATATTATTATTATCACTTCGTTATCATTAATTAGTATTAGCATTACGATTAGTAGTACCAGTACTAGTATTAGTAGTATTAGTAGTATGCGAATTAGTGTTACTAGTAATATTATTGCTAGTAGTAGTGTTAGTATTAATAGTATTAGTCGCATTCGTAATGCTATTATTAATGGTATTATTCTTAGTCGTAGTAGTCATATTATTATTCGTAGTTTTAAGTTTCCTTCTATAGTAGTAAGACTAGTAGTATTCGTCGCATTAGCATTGTTATTGCTAGTATTCTTAATAATATTAGAATTAATACAATTTCCCCCATGATTCTTATTATTCGTCTTACTGTGTTAATCATGCTACTATTGTTGCTCTTATTATTAGTTGTACTAGTTGTCGTGGAATACATATTCGTCTTCTTAGTAGTATGCGTATTTTTATTGTTCTGAGTAGTATTCTTCCTATTATTCGTCATATTATTCTTATTCTTCGTATCATTACTCGTCATATGATTCATCCTGTTATTATTAGTATTCTCAAACTTATTATTATTCTTCGTCATCTTATTTTTCCTCCTCCTCCTCTTCTTCCTCCTCCTCCTTTTCTTCCTCTTCCTCCTCCTCCTCCTCATTTTCCTCCTCCTCCTCCTCCTCCCCTTCCACCTTCCCCTCCTCCTCCTCCTCCTCCTCCTCCTCCTCCTCCTCCTCCTCCTCCTCCTCCTCCTCCTCCTCCTCCTCCTCCTCCTCCTCCTCCTCCTCCTCCTTATATTCCTCCTTTTCCCCCTCCTCCGCCGACTCCGCCTCCGCCTGCGCCTCCGCCTCCTCCTCTGACTCCTCCTCCGCCTCCGCCTCCGCCTCCGCCTTCGCGTCCGCCTCCGCCTCCTCCTCGTGCGTGCCGACGCAATGGCGATTGTTTTTTTTACGTATGCATCGATCATGTGGTCGGCTCCTACACCCAGAGAATGAATTGTTACATTGGGTTTTCACAACTCGGTTTTCAATTTAGATTCGCGGCGCTGTATACCAAAACGTATGCAACGCAGCGAAATCACCCAGGTGGGCCCGGGGTGGTGGGTCACCCGAGTGGGTGGGTCACCCGAGTGGGTGGGTCACCAGTGTGTGCCGACGCAATGACGATTGTATGTTATTACATATGCATCGTTCATGTGGTCGGCTCTTACACCCAGAGAATGAATTGTTACATGGGATTTTCACAACTCGTTTTTCGATGTAGAATCGCGGCGCCGTGTGCGAAAACGTATACAACGCAGCGACATCACCCAGGTTGGTCACGCGGGTGGGTGGGTCACCCGAATGGGTGGGTCACCCGAGTGGGTGGGTCGCCAATGTGTGCCGACGCAATGACGATTACGTGTGTGTGTGTGTGTGAATGTGTGTTGTTGTTTTTTTACATATGCATCGTTCATGTGGCCGGCTCTTACACCCAGAGAATGACTTGTTACGTTGGGTTTTCACAACTCGTTTTTCCATTTCGAATCGCGGCGCTGTTTACGAAAACGTGTACAAC